TCGCGCTGGGTCCATTTGCCGGGGTTTTAGCCTCAGTCATAGAGAGGACTCCACAGGGTCTGGAGGGACAGGTCCTCTCCTTCATCAGCATCACGGCATCGTACGTGTCTGCCAGTGTGTGTCTGTACTTGGGGGTTGCTCTGAAGTCTAATGGTTTTGCACTAAGCGAGAGCCGGTGGGGAACAAGGGGCAGAGCGGAGAGATGCGCATGGAGCAGAGGCAGAGACGTAGCGAGTCTTTCTGTCTAGCAAAATTGTCACATGGTTGTTGGCTAAGGGCGACTCGGATGTCAGCAGAGGGAACTTGGAGGGGGCGGTGGCTGGGAAGGCTGGCTTTGATGAGTGTCGAAGTCCAGTGCAGTATAATCATGTTGTTCTAAGTATTCCAGATGAGACAGGTTTACGGTTTCATGTGAAATTTGGGTATTTTTAGCTATTACTTGGGAGTTTGTTTCAGCAGAATGTTGTGCTGGTGGCATTACAAATATTATAGTGGGTTCTATTTTGTGTCAGTGAAACTGTTCTACATAAGGCATCTTTGCCAAGCCCCACACCATAACAAGCCAGTATTGTTGTATGGGGACCCTAGTACGGATTGGCAGACAGCAGGACGCAACCATAAAAAGCCAGTATTGTTGTATGGGGACCCTAGTACGGATTGGCAGACAGCAGGACGCAAGAAAGGGGTCAAGGAGGTATTTAGCACGCTGTGGTTTTCGCCTGTGTACAAGAGGTGAGGGAGGTTGTAGCCGCAATGGAAACGTGGAGTTTCCTCCCGCTTGAGGGTAGCAGAGATTTTGGAAACCAGGCGCAAGCTGCCAGCGTGTTCTTTGCGCCTTTTCCTCTGTCCTCATCGCCCGCACTCGCTTGCTGAGTGGCAGAGGGGGGTAAAACTTGGCCCAAGCATCTGCAGAGGGTAGGGTGGAGGTCCTCGGCCCTCCTGACCGGCGACGGGTCCCTCTTTTAGCCCAAGCAGCTCTTCTGGAACGGGGACTGCACCCGCCGATGCCGCTGCTTCCGGCGTAACCTCATCCAGTGCGACCCGCGGCACTGCAAGTCAGACGAGGAGTGCGCCCTGCGCAACGGCGTCCGTGGCTGCTTCAGCACCAGGAGCTCCTTCTGCTTTTTTTTCTTCCGCACCTTCGATGGGGCCTTTCTCCGCTTCCCCGCCAACTGCGCCTTCGTGCTCTCCACCATCTGCCAGAAGCTGCCCGACTTCTCCTTCCAGCTCATCATCAACTTTGACAAGTGGTCCTCACCCAACCTCACCGTCATCTCTCCTGTGTACTTCTACATCAATGAGGAGCAGATCCTCATCAGCGACAGGAATACTGTCAAGGTAAGGTCTCGTCAGGGACACCCGCTCCCTCTGGAGCAGACCAGGCGGAAGGCGTACGCGTGGCCGCACGACAGTCTCTGCGAGGGCTCCGGAAGGCTCGGTCGGTGGCTTTGAGGCCCGGTCGAGGCAGCTCTACAGCTGAGGGACATGGCCGTCATCTGTTGAGCTTTACGGACAGATGCTGACAGAGACAAAAGGGCTGGCAGGAGGCGAGGCCGTGTGCAGCCTGGGAGTTTGTAGTCACATCCCCATCCGCCTCTCGGCGGTGTTGGCAAAGCTGTTGTGCAGCCTGGGAGTTTGTAGTCACGTACCCATCCGCCTCTCGGCGGTGTTGGCAAGCTGTCCTTTTGAGCAGAGGGGCACAGGGGGCTGGTTACAACTGGGGTGTTGCTCTGTCTCTGAAGGCTACTGTCTGTGACATTTCCTGGTGGGTGACAGGTCCCCAGCTTAGAGCCTCTGCACATGAGTAGGTTTCCTCTGCAGCGCAGCCTCGTGCAGGCATTTAAGAGAGGCGGCGCGCTCAGAGCGATCCGTCGGGCCGGGAGGGGGGGCAGGAGGATGCCCCCTGCCAAAGACAAGGTGGCATGTTTTTGTGGCTGGGATAGCGGGAGGCAGTCGTTGAGCCATTTGCGGGTGGCTCGCGCTCCCATCCATAGGCAGAATCACAGAATCACAGAAGGGGCAGAAGCGACGTGAGCCTTGTGTCCTCTCTCGCACCAGGTGAACGGCAGCTACGTGAGCATCCCCTTTGTCACGGGGCTTTCTACAAAGATCTTCAGCCAGGAGGGCTTTCTGGTCA